ATACCGCGGCACTTGTAGCAGAAATCTCCTCGCATTCACTCCCAACAAAACCACTGGTCACCCAGTCCCCGTAGGAAGGCTGCATGCTATTGTGTTGCGACAACTCATTCATGTCCCACACCACAAGGCCCCACTGCCATCTGATCTACACTCGAAATGCGATTACCACCGTGTGCATGCAACACGCTCCTGCTCCTACTCCCGGCCCAGCGCACACGTCCGGCCGGGCTGCAAGGTTTTCTTTTACAACTCTCCTCCTCATCCTCTAAAGAGAGGAGGATGCACAGAGAATCCAGGCACTTGTCTCTGCCTGAAGGAAATCAGAAATTCTATGGAAACAGGGCGGTGGAGAGTCCTCTTTTCAGAACTGCGCACAGCAGAACTCAACAACCCATTTTTCCCTGCCCATTGGTAGAACTGACTTGGGTGTACATGCTCATGTGCACACAGAGGAGTCCCCCCCCAAACCCCGTCTCTTACATACAAGCACAGGAACGATGCTTTGTAGACTTGTTTTCTCTCTGTCGCTCTCACCTACACAAGAAAACACATACCAATGCAAGTCCCTGATTCCACAGCCACAAGTCACTCACCAACATCCCTAAGTGGTTTTGGCAAGATTGGGAAAGAGCAGGAAAAAGGTATAATCTCTCAGTTTTCATGCTTAGAAAATGCACCAGTCTTCCTATTACAAAGTCCTTGAACTTCTCTCCAATACATACGCACCGTTGCCCTGTGCTTTGCCAGGTATCTTTTCTTAATGGAAGCTCCTGCTTAACCTCAAAGAATGGAAGAAGTCCTGGGATACAAGGGCCAGAAAGTGGGGTCACCTGTGTATCCTCTTTACCCCCCACTGTGGAAAGTGTCTTTGGTCCCCTTCTTTCTTGAAGTAGACAGTTCAAGGGCTCCCCACCCCTCTTTAACACTTGGAGCAAAACAAAATCCTTTTCCCCCGCTTCCACTTTGTTTTCTACTTTTATCTGAGCTAGACATGGAAAGGGAACTCGGGGACCGGCAAACTACTGCAGAGACATGGCCCACTCTGTGGTCTTCTGCAAACCCTCTTCCGCAGGTCGCTGCTCTCTTCAGAAAGGCAAAGCCATGGAATTGGATACTGCCACCCCCCTTCCATACCTTTGGCCCAGGAGCGGATGGCACTTGGAGAAAAGGGCTGTATTCCTTTTTGGACAGGTTCCTTCACCTGCTTCCTGTAGGCTCACCTCTCTATCATCCTGGCCTGGGCATCTATCAAGTTGGAAGAAATTCTTTAACCGCCCAGGACAGAGGAGTGCCTGGGAAAGGCCACCGAACCAATGCATCCATTTGTGCACGCGTCCCTCCACACGCACCAGACCCCTTTACCCACATAGTTGTATCAGAGACTCGCCCTGCCAGTAGTTTCTCAACCACCAGTGCAGCTCTGGCTCAGAGTTCTCTGGACCCCTCACACGTGCGTCTCTACCAGCATTTGCTCAGCTGCACACACCTCGCTCCAAGACTAGCTAGGACGCCTATGCACTCACAGAGAGTTCCAGATAGTTTGCTCAATTTCAGGAAGGAGGGGAAGGCCCAGGGCTTGGGTGGGGGTCGTGGAGCGCAGGCGGAGCAGGTTCGGAGCATCGGCCCAGGCTGGGTCTGGGGGAAGGTGGGGGGACAAGCGGGAGCGCGCGCGCAGCGCCGCCTAATCCAGCCCGAGCTCGTGGGCCGCGGGTGCATTTATCATCCCATTACTGTAACAAATCCGGGCTCCACTACATGAAAGGTAAAATGAATTACCGACGTTAAGCCGTCAATAAAGTCATTTCTGTAAATGGTGTCTCCAAAGGGCCGCCGCATTATTCAGCTGGCTTTATCAGCTGGCTGGAAATTACGTGGAGGAGCCGGGCCGCGCGGCGCGCGGGGCCGCTCACTTTGATTAAGCGTCTTGCCAGCGCGATGTGACAGAGCTTTTGACCAGGGTTTTATTCACAGGCCTGTGATGAACGCCAAGCTGATCAGGCGGAATGAAGAGTAATTAAAACCTATAAATTATCTTCCGCAGCCCTTCTCGAGGCGTCTCCTGCAGGCGAGATAAGGCGTCGAGACCCTATTTACGGCGCTGAAAGGGACCGCGCCGCACAAAAGCTACGCGGCTAAATAGGATATTGATAGTGTCCTAATTAGAATTTAATTAAGTACCCACGCTCTCTTGCGGGATAAAGATTTCAATTTTGCGAACTTAAATATAAATAAAAACCCACCCCCATTTGGGGGAGGAGTAGGGGCACCTGAAGAATTTGGGGAGCCCTCGGGTGTGGGACAGAGGAGACCCGGGAGGCTCCCTAGGTGCGGTTGGTGGTTGCTTGGGAAAGTGGAGGAGCGCACAGTGGGCCAGTGCAGCGCATCACTTAGGGCCGTGGTTCTCGACCCCAGGCCTCTGTGCACACGTCTGGTCTGGAATTCAGCTCGGGAAATCTGGGGACCTTCGGCTGACCCCAACATGCCGCGAACAGCCGACTGACCCGGTCTCCACTAACCACCTACCCACAGAGGTAGTTCGGCTTGTTGTAGTTTTGGTTGTGTGTTTCCTCTAACCTAATCCTCTGAATTTTTTTTTTTTTTTGAAAACGGGGTGAGGGATTATTTCCCACATTCCAACCGTACAATAGTCCCGAAGAGACTTTTTTTCCCACGTCCCAGGAAGGGAGTGACTGTCAAGAAGAGCATGTGCCCTGACGTTCCAGGATATACCCGCAAAAGGCCTTATTTGCCGGTGTCTTTCTCGACATTGCGGGCTTTAACCAAAGTTTGCCTTCCAAAACAGCTCTGCAGGCAAACCCTTTCGAATCCCTGGCCATGGAAAATTTCTGGGTGCCAGGAAACAGCAAAAAAGCCCAACTAATGAACTTGGGAAAGGCTGGAGGCACCGTAGTCTCCCAAAGGTAGGAGAGAATTCAATTCGTAAGGCTAAAGCCAAAGGGACCCAGATTGCCCCCGTAACCCCAGGAGATTCAGTTACCTCCAAACTGGGGGAGACTCATTGTTCATATCGTCCCCTGGCCGGGGCGAACAATTGCGACACAGTGCTTTTGTTTGATTTTACTTTGCTGGGAAATTTAGCACGGGGTCTCCCTGAACTCAAAACCCAGGCTTTGTGCTCGTTCTGAGTGGTTTGGCTCTCCGGGTGCAAGTCAACCATGCTGGACAACCCTGACTCCTGCAGCCAGGGCAGGACCAGGCGGCTGGAGCTAAGGTTCTTCTGTGCCTATGGCCCCGGCTGGATGGCGCCAGGGCATTTCTTTTGGTCAAAGGACCAAACAGGAAAGGGTATGGGTGCAGATCCTACTGGCAAAGGGGCAAGCAGTGTATGCGGCCCGTGTGAGACTTCAAAACCAGCAGTGCTAGCTAGGCGCAGCAGGCCTCCAGGTCTGTTCTTTGTGAAAAATAAACTGTTTCCAAAAGTAGACAACTGCACATCTATTTCCTATCACCAACGCCTGATCCTTTTCCTCCCCTGCACACACACACACACACACACACACACACACTGGTGACAACAAGCTTTCACTCTTCGTAAATGCAACAGCAACGAAAAGTATAAAAGGCTGAATTTCCTCTGCGTGGGGTGCAGAACCTATGCCACTGCCTCCTGACCCTGTGCCCAGTTCGCACGCACCCATAATCCAGCACTTCTCCAACAAGTTGTTTATGGAGTTGCTTCTCTATTTGCCTACACCCCGAAATCCTCCCCTCCCGGATCTCTTCGGCCCCCTCCTCAGTCCTAGGCTTAAAGAGGGGGAGGGGCATAAGTGTGAGTGGGGGAGGGCAGACCGGACACACCAGGCCCAAGCCGCTGCACCCCCTCTCCGCCCGCGGCCGCCGCCCCCGGATTATTTATCCGCAAAGTCCCGCGCGCGCCCATTGGGCCGAGCCCCGAGTGTCAGCGCGAGTCGTGGCTCGCCATTGGCCCCGCACACGTGCGGCCCTGACTCACGTGCTTCCGGTTTGAAGGCAAAAAGTGTGCCTGGGTGATTTTTTTTTTAAGCGAGAGAGTTTGTGCAAAGATCCGAGCTGTCAGAGATTTGAGAGGAAAAAAAAAAAAAAAAAAAAAAAAAAGGCAGCCCGGCG